CCAAAACCCCAAAACCCCAAAACCCCAAAACCCCAAAACCCCAAAACCCCATGAACCGTGAATTTCCTTAATGGAAGGAGATTAAAGTTATTTACAAGAAGAAGCCATAAATATGAAAAATGTAGTAAGATAAATAATTGTAATAGTTAAGGTATATAAATAAAGTGATTGTGTTTAATTGTTGAATGAATTAAGTTAAATTATAAATAGGATCATTAATATGTATAAGAACTGTATAGGATGTAGTCAGGTGTTGATCAATATGTCTTTGTTTTCTTGTTGTCCTTCTTCTTCATGTAGGCAGGTGGGAATTTTTCAAACCAGAAAGCAGGTACTTCTAGTTTGTACTCATTGACTAGGAGCCACGAGATGTGCTAGAGGGTTGGACTCAAGTCATTGAGGACCTCTGATCTTGGTCTTTTAGGCTTCTTATTTTCATCATTTTTTTTAATGGCTTTTGTCTTTTTGGATGGCTTCTCTTATTCAACTTCTTCTTTGAAATAGAATTATTCATCGGAAAATTGAATGAACAGTGGCCACAGTCCTCTGATGAAGTCATCGTTAAGGAATTAGTGAACAGTTTCGGTTCTGTTTTTGTCAAAAATAATTTTGTAGAGAAGCATTCCCTCCTCACCGAGCACTCGATGGAATTAGTTATCTTTCTTTTCAAGAAATATTTCTTTCTGTATCTTTCCTTCTATTAGAGGTAGATCTGGTCTCTCTTTAGACTTGATGGTTGTACCAAGAGTATGATAGAGCAGTACAGATAGAGCGCAGATTTATCTATCAGTTGGTTGCATTAAGCCATATCCTTAAAGGAAGGCTTTAGATTCAGCAATCCATCTTTCATCTGTGAAGTGGTGGAAGCCATTGCTGAACCCAGATTTTTCGAAGGCTGAGAAGAGTGATTTTCTTAAACCTCTCAGCAAAGATTTGAAACCTTGGTCTAACTTGAGTTTAGGAGATTTATTTTTTTTCTACTAAACTTAAGTATGATTGTTTGGATTCTATCTTTGCATTTTATCTTTAATAATTGATTTGTTCTTTTTAGGGTTAGCTTTAGCTTTTAAAGGTTTAGGTATCTTTTAAGCTTTCTGTTTTTGGTCCAACAAATTTTATTTCAAATTTATTGAAGTTAATTGCTCTGAGTTTTATAGAATTAGCTCTCTATAATCTGATGGATTAGGTGATGAATCAACATCAGGCTCTATAGACTCTTCTTAAGAATGTATGTCTAACTCATGAGAATATTAGTTATCTTGCTAGTACTGGTTGCCCTTTGGTTATTAAATAGGGCAAGAATCATCGCTGGACAAGAGGTCAGAGCTGTTTGAGCCGAACAGTGTTTCGGCGTATATTTTGTCAAAATCAGCTTCGGATGACAGTAAATGGTTAACTCCATTGTAATTGTTGTAGTAATGAGCATACTTTCTGGTAGATTGATCACCATTAATTAAGGTCTGAGTTAACGTTAAGAGGGAGTCTTATTAGGATTAATTATTATAATGGCAACTCTATTGTGGATTGCTAAGGAATCCGTCATTTGCTACTGGTTATTTGAATTATTGGTTAAAGTAATTTTCTTCATCGACAAATTGATCTCTCAATGGCTCATCGAAATGGAAGCATGAGTTGTTGGAATTTGTTAGAGAAGGGAATAAGTCGTATTTGTTTTAGTATTGCATATTTTTATGTGATTTATTAAGAGGATCTCTTTTATTATAATAAATCCTTCAAACATTATCATTTATATATTAGCATTCAGATACTAATGGTCAGAAAATGATAGATATCTGCATTATGGGGTTTTGGGGTTTTGGGGAGATCGGAAGAGCGTCGTGTAGGG